TTTATATATCCAAGGACTTTGCTAGGAAGCCTCGATCATTGAAATATGTTAGACCATGAACCTACAGAATTTAGACAATTATTATTGTATAGTGGTCCAGTATTTATGAAATCTCATGTCATATTTCAAATGACTTTTATAAAATTTTCTTACTTTACATATTGCTATTAAAATTTTATGTAGCAACACGTTATTAAATGATCTTTTAGATTATGCTCAGCAGCTACTTCATCATTTTGTTGAAAGATTTAAGATTTTATATGGAGATCATTATGTAAGTCATAACATTTTACACTTAGCTAATGTCACCAGAAGTTTTGGTACACTTGATTCATTTAGTGCCTTTAAATTTGAGAATTGCATACAGGTCTTGAAAAAATACATACGGAAGTCAGAGAAACCATTGCAGCAAAGTTATGAAAATACTTTGAGGGTAAAAGAACTTTTTATGGGAAAACATGTAAGGCCTGTAGCCATGCCTGGAGCTTGTGAGATGTCTTGCATTTCGAAGGACATTTGATAGAATATTGTGGTAAACCTCTGTATAAAGTAATATATTGTTCAGATTTTACATTCAATATTAAAAAAAGGCTGATTCATTACGGCATCAGGTTTAATGAATAGGGCTTAATACGCAGTGATGCCAGATGTGATATGAAGGATGATTTGCCTGATTATACACTGGCAGTTTATAATAAATTTCTGTTCGGACAGAGGCAGAGAACTGCTAGATGTGGAGCAGCTATTTATAAATTTAGAAATTTATAAAATTTGTAACATTGCTTTGTGAATTTATTTTAAAAAAGTGTATAGGAGCTTACAAGATCGTTTATTTCAAATTGCAGTACATTTTATCTAATTTTGCTAAACTATCTAGAAAGGAATGCACGGAATGAAGTTTACAAGTTATTTAAAAAAAATATTAAACTAGTTGGTATTGGTATTTAGCCTTGAGGCAAGTTACATGAACTTTCCGCTACGTGTAAATAATCGATTTATCAATAAAAATAAATTAATTTATGAGTGATTAAAAGTATTCCGAGCGGATTCAATTACACATAATTGAAAATGAACGAACATGTTAACTCGGAGTATTTTCTAAAAGCAAATTTTCACAAATCAATTTTTTTTTTTCGAAGGACATTAATGGTTTAGTATGTTCATTAAGACCAAGTAATCTATCGTTATACCAAGTAAATCGTCTAAATTTAATTTTAACAAACGTCAACAAAACTACTCATTTTCTCAAACTTTGATGAATTTTTAAAATTAAACTACTTGTCGTAAGGCCGTAATATTTCAGTAAGTTCTATAAGACCAGGATATATATGCCAAAAAAAAAGTTCCATAAAAATCGGCTTAAATTTTTTTTCAACAGTTAATTAACGTCGATGAAAGTTCTAATTTTGACAAATGCCAAAAAGACCATACTAATTTTTGCAAACTTTGACGAATGATCTAGAAGACTATGGTATCTACCGTCAAAAACATAATCATAAAAATCGTCGAATTTTTTTTTTTTAATTTTATTATCAGGAAACGGCCCGGCCAATCTCTACCAAAAACTAATCAGCACGATTCCCAACCAATATCTTTCGAACGGTTTTTGAATTTTCAAAACCGATTCAGAATTGCGGGCTAAAACGTAGACAATTTTTTTTTTCACTTTTTTGCGATTTATAAAGAAACGGCTTGGCCGATCGTAGCACATGACTGACAAACAATATTCCTCATCGAGATACGAGTACATCGCTTTTAAATTTTTGAAATCGGCCCAGCCGTTTTCGAGAAAACGTCGATTTACGGCAAAAAATCTGTTCACATACACGCACACACACATACACACACACACACACTTTTTCCATTCCATTCCATTTCCATTTGGTCTCATTCGATTCAGAATGGCTTGAAAGGTCGAGAAAACATAAAATTAGCGAATCGGATTTTTTGATGAAAACATAAAACTCTCCTTTGGGAAGTTAAAAAAATGTCCAAAATGATTCAGAATGACTAAAGCGTATGATCACCGAGTCGGGTTTTCTGTCAAAGCCATTAAATTGTACTTCGAGATGTTATATCTGAAAGTGAAATTATTTATCTCCTGCTATCGCTGCTTCCCGATTTCATATCTCTGGTCTCTGGTGCGCGAACAAAACATGACCTATTATCATAAGTCAAGATGAAGTAGAAGAAGAAGGTCTGGCCAAGAGGAGGGGCGTGTCGCAAAATAAACTTTTATGATAGAATAGAATTCTTTAGTTAGCAAACAACTACAGTACATATATAAGGCGGCGCGCCACCCTCGGCACATTTGCCGATGACACCATGATCATGGCTACCCACGAAGATCCAGAAATTGCAACACTAAACTTACAGGACCACCTGTTTGAGTTAGAGAAATGGTTAATGAAATGGAAAATAAAGCTAAACACGGATAAAACGCGACATATCACTTTCACTACAAGAAAGAAAAACTGTCCTACTGTATTTATAAACAACGTAGAAATATTGACTTGCACCAGCGTTAAATACTTAGGTTTACATCTGGACCGCAAACTAACATGGAATATTCACATAAAACAAAAAAGGAAGCAAATTATGGATAAATTTAGACAACTCTACTGGCTAATAGGAAGAAAATCTAAAATGTCATACAACAATAAATTACTAATATATAAGTCAGTAATTATACCGATATGGACGTATGGTATTCAACTATGGGGATGTGCAAGCACGTCCAGCATAAAGATTATCCAACGAACTCAAAATAAAATTTTAAGAGCAATAGTTAATGCACCATGGTACGTGTCGAATAATACTATTCATTCAGATTTAAACATACTGACCGTAAAAGAAGTAATTCAGCAAAGAAGCAATTCATACCACATGAAATTAGACCAACATCCAAATCCAGCCATGCAATTGATCAAAAATCATGATCCAACTAGAAGGCTCAAAAGAAAATGGCCAGAAGATCTACTAACTTAATTTAAGCTCTGTTATATTACTAACATAGATTATTCATTAACATAGATATATTATTTACATAGATATAAATAATTAACATTGATTTATTTTATAGATTATCTACAGGGGAATCTCTTCAGTGGAAGATACCTCTAAACGTCATACTTAATCACATAGACTCATAGAACTTGTAATTCTGATTGTCTATAATAAATAAAGAAAAAAAAAAATATATATATATATATAAGGCGGCGCGCGGTACCGGCAATGGCAACGGCAACAGCAAAACAAAAACTTTTTATCGGACTTTGGATGTTTCTCCCGGAGCCAACTCTTTACTCTCTAGTCGCCATGTAAAGCTGGTGGTGGAAACAAATCTAGAATCGGAAGATGTCAAAGTCGATAGTAATTTTTTTTTCAATTGACACCAAAATTGGATTAAGCATGTGTATGTGTATATTTGGAGTCGTATTTTTGATCCATCAATGTCTGTTACTCGATATGGACTTGCTTCTATTAAAAATGTTATCTAAATAGCTAAATTTTTATGTGTTAAGTCGATTCTTTACAACTTGCCTTAAGGGTGTATTCTAGTGTAGAAATTCCCAAAAATCGTTTTTAACTTTCCTTAGGATAGTTATAGTAATGGGCCGAAAATCGAAAATGAAAATTTTTCCATTTCTCGACGTTTTGTAGGTTTCTGAACATTGGCATATCTCAGAAAAAATAGATGCGTGTGTGTATGTGTGTGTGTGTGTGTGTGTGTGTGTGTTTTGTATGTCCACCATCAACCATCAACCGATTTGAATGGTTTAAAAAACATTTGAATGATCTGAAAAAAATTAAATTTGTAATGATTCGGAGAAGAGGCGATTAGTTTTTGGCAAAGACAGGTCCGCCATTTCGAAGATACAGAGCTAAATGTGCAATAAACGGTAGTTTTTGAGTGAACTAAGCGTCCGATTTGAATTATCTAGAAAACTTTCTGCTTGTATTGACAAAACAATTGCTTTTGAGGATAAAAAATTATTACATCTTTTTTTATTTTTTATAAATTTTTTTTGTAATTTTGGATTAAAAATTCGAAAAATTATCCAGTCAAAGCACAGTCTAAGCGGCACTCTGATACAAATGTTTTCGCAAGTGCGTTTAGACTGTTTATGTACTAGAGCACTTTTCCAATTCGAATTTTGTGAAAACTATTGAAAAATGTGAAAATGCCGCCAAGCTAAGCACAGTATAAGTGAAAATGTCACACAGAATTATTTGCAAATGCAATTAGACTGTGACTATAAGGGAGCATTTTTTCAATTTTGTGTAAATCAGGCAACTATTTTTTTTAAATTGAATTCGAAATGAAATTTGAAACGATTGTTAATGGAGATAAATAATCTGGAGATAAATTGATTTATGATTTACATTTGATTTGCTCAGATATAACAAGATAGATAATAAAAGTTACAGGATTTATATTAATATATTTGAAAACATTTAAAATTTCTCGAATATTTCATTAGGGAGTTCCAGCAATTTGCCTTAAGGCACGATGCCATACTGTTGAAGTTTAATATTAAACGCTCTGTGTCTACTATGTTTATGTATATATGTTTGTCTTTTGGTTTATGTAAAAACAAGTGATTGTTAATAATGTTTGTTATGAATGTGTTTAGTTAAAGAATATATAATGAGTCAGTCTGTTTTTATCCTTCTGCATAAACGGTTGTATTATTATTCACATAAACTTTCAACATAAATTCTACAGGTTATGGGCCCAGATCCCATGTTTTTTTTAAAGTTTATTGAATAACAGTTTAGTGCCTTTTTAATCATTATGTCGTCGGGATACTTGGTGAATGTACCGAAGTTAAAAGGACGTGAAACATATGACGATTGGGCGTTTGCAGCAGAAAATTTTCTAATCTTAGAAGATTTAGCAGAATGCATTGTAGAGCCAAAGCACGAGGCAGAAATTGATGTGATCAAGGATAAAAAGGCAAGAGCAAAATTGATATTAACATTAGATACAAGTTTATATGTATATGTAAAAGAAACAAAAACCTCAGCCCAGCTATGGTCAAAATTAAAGGCGATGTATAGTGATTCAGGCTTCACTCGAAGGATTAATCTCTTAAGGACATTAATTTCTACTAGATTAATTAATTGTGAATCCACGAGCTCATATGTCAATCAAATAATAGAAACAGGGCAGAGATTGAGGGGAACGGGATTTAACATTGATGATGAGTGGATAGGCTCTTTGCTCTTGGCAGGATTGCCGGAAAAGTTTTCGCCGATGATTATGGCTATTGAGTATTCCGGTATAGCCATTACAACGGACACAATAAAAACGAAGCTGCTGGATATAGGCAACGATGTTGCAGTTAATAATGATGAGAGCGCCTTTGTAGCAAAACAAAATGGCAGGTACAAGCAGCGCCAAGTTTCAAACTCCAACAATTTTGATACTAAAAAGGAAGTTAGGTGTTTTAAATGCAAAAGACTTGGTTATTATAAAAATAAATGTCGTTTCAATAATGTGAATAATGAGCCTGATAAAAATGAATTTAACAGAGTTTTTTCAACTGGTAGTTATAATAAAACAGATTGGTATGTTGATTCTGGAGCCAGTATTCATCTTGTGAATGACAATAACAATTTAAGAGAATACAACAAGAAACCTGATGTGCAGGAAGTAAGGACAGCTAACAATATGCAATTGAAGGTAGTGTCTTGTGGCAGCGTTTCTCTTAGGACAGCGGTTTATGGTCAAGTTTATGATGTTGAAGTACAGGATGCTCATTATGTACCACAATTGTCAGCAAATTTATTATCTGTTAGCGCTCTTACCAGAAAGGGTAACAGGGTTGTTTTCAATGATAATAAATGCAAAATTTATAGCAAAAATAACACTTTGGTTGCAGTGGCGGTACTTACAGGTGGAGTATATAAACTCATGATAAATAATATTAATTGTTTGTTAGTTACAGATCCTAAGTCAGGAAATTTATGGCATAGACGGTTAGGACATATAAATAAAACAGATTTGTGTAAATTGAGTAAAGGCTTGGTAAAAGGACTCACCATATCCGAGAAGGCAACATCAGACATAAATAATTGTATAGTTTGTTGTGAAGGAAAGCAAACTAGATTGCCATTCAAACACAAAGGTTCAAGAGCAGTAAAAGTTCTGGAATTAGTTCAGTCTGATGTTTGCGGTCCAATGGAACAGTTATCTATAGGTGGTTCGCGATATTTCTTGAGTTTTCAAGATGACTATTCAAAGATGTGTTTTGTTTATTTTTTAAAGTCAAAGGATGAAGTTCTTCGTTGCTTCAAAGAGTTTAGGGCTGTCGTTGAAAAGCAACAGGGTATGCCAATTAAAACACTAAGAACTGATAACGGTGGCGAATATTGTAATAAAGTATTTTAGGAGTATTTGAAAGAAAATGGTATTATTCATCAAAGAACAAATCCATATACACCTGAACAAAATGGGATTGCTGAAAGACTAAATCGGACTTTGGTAGAAAAGGCCAGATGTCTAATATTTGATGGTCAGTTAGATAAAAAGTTCTGGGCAGAGGCTGTTAATACAGCAGCATATTTGAAGAACAGAAGTGTAACAAGTGATCTAACAAAAACACCTTTTGAATTATGGTGGAAGAAAAAACCTGATGTTAGTCACATTAAGATATTTGGAAGCGTTGTAATGGATCATGTACCGAAGCAGAAAAGATCAAAATGGGACAGAAAATCTGTTAGAAAGATTTTGATCGGATATGCAGACGACGTTAAAGGATATAGATTATTTGATCCAGTCACAAATAAAATTTCCACAAGTAGAAATGTAGTTATTATGGAAACTATTGACGACGAGCCTAGCAAGAACCCAATAGAACCAGTAGAGAACAGTGTTTCAGTGGGGGTTAATGAAATGCAGCCTGTAACTGAAGAAAAGGATCAAAATGCTGGCAGTGATCATGAACAAAATATTATAGAAATACGAAAGTCTGAAAGAACAAGAAAGAAGAAAACGTTTGATGATTATGTCACATACGCGTGTAACAACTTTCCAATGGAAGAACCAAAAACAATTAAGGAAGCAATGTCAAGACCAGACAAGCAATATTGGATGGACGCTATAGCTGAAGAATTAAAATCTTTCGAGGAAAATAAGGCCTGGGAGTTAGTGAATATGCCAGAAAACTGTAGTATAGTGGACTGCAAGTGGGTTTTTAAACGAAAAGTAGATACTGAAAACCAAGTACGATATAGAGCTCGGTTGGTAGCTCGAGGTTTCACTCAACAGTATGGTGTAGATTATGATGAGACTTTTTCTCCAGTCGTTAGGCATTCAACCTTAAGATTATTAATGGCTTTATCAGTAAGATTAGGATTAAGCATAACGCATTTAGACGTCACAACAGCTTTTCTGAATGGACATTTGAAAGAATTGGTATATATGAAGAAACCAGATGGCTATAGAGATAACAGTAGCAAAGTATTGAAATTAAACAAAGCTGTATATGGTTTGAAACAATCGTCTCGAGTTTGGTATCAAAAGGTTGAGACAGTTTTACTTGGGCTGGGTTACAGAAAATCTAAGTATGAACCATGCATGTTTATAAAAGGTAATAATAATACTATGACTGTAATAGCATTGTATGTTGATGATTTTTTCGTTTTTTCAAATGATATAGCTGAAAATAGTAAATTGAAGACCGAATTGAATTTAAAGTTCAAAATCAAAGATTTAGGTAAGGCCAAATGTTGCTTAGGAATCAGGATCAATTATGAAAAAGATGGTAGTATAATATTGGATCAGGAGAGGTATATAGATCAACTACTAAATAAATTCAATATGCAAGATTGCAAACAAGCAGGTACACCTATGGAAAGTGATTTGAAATTGTCTTCAGGTAAAATTGAACAGGAGTTACCCTATCAACAACTCATTGGAAGTCTAATGTATTTAGCTGTTATGACAAGACCTGATATTGCGTATAGTCTGAGTTATCTTAGCCAATTTAACAATTGCTATGTTAGCAGTCACTTCAAAAGTGCAAAGAGGGTGCTAAAGTATTTGCAGGGCACTAAGAAGTATGGCTTAAAATTTAAGAAGGATTCAGAGAATCTAGTAGGATATACTGATGCAGACTGGGCAAGTGACAACGTTGATAGAAAATCGTACACAGGTTTCTGTTTCAAATTCTCCAATAGTATTATATCTTGGGAAAGCTCTAAACAGAAAACTGTAGCATTGTCAAGTACAGAAGCCGAGTACATGGCAATATCGGATGCTTCCAAAGAAGCGATATACTTAAAAAATTTGTTAATGGAGTTAACGGATGTAAATGAGAGTGTACGTATTTACAATGATAACAAGTCAGCACAAAAACTCTCATACAATCCAGTTTTCCACAAAAGATCAAAACACATTGATGTGAGACATCATTTCATCAGGGAAGCAATTGCAGATGGTGTGATCGATCTAAAGTATATGCAGACAAATGATATGCCTGCTGATATATTCACGAAGAGCTTAAGTGTACATAAACATTTGAAGTTTTTAAAGCAGTTAGGTATGAGTACACAAGTTGTTTAGTATAGTGGGGGTGTTGAAGTTTAATATTAAACGCTCTGTGTCTACTATGTTTATGTATATATGTTTGTCTTTTGTTTTATGTAAAAACAAGTGATTGTTAATAATGTTTGTTATGAATGTGTTTAGTTAAAGAATATATAATCAGTCAGTCTGTTTTTATCCTTCTGCATAAACGGTTGTATTATTATTCACATAAACTTTCAACATAAATTCTACACATACACCACTAGTTTTTCTTTTTTTTTTGTATTTCCAAAGTTCAACTATTTATGAAAGTGTGTACTCACAATAAAAACTAAATATACAATAGAGATCACAATAAAAAAGCGGCACTTGAATTTAAAAATAACTAGTTGGTTTGGTATTTAGCCTTGAGGCAAGTTACATGAACTTCCCGAAATGTGTAAATAATCGACTTAATCAAAAAAATGGGTAAATAATATACTTCATTAATCCTACTTTAAAAAAAACGATAATAATTTTAGCAAACTTTGACGAATTTTTAAAATTAAACTACTTGTCGTTAGGCCGTAATATTACAGTAAGTTCTATAAGACCATGATGTATATCGCCAAAAAAATTTCCATGAAAATCGGCTTAAATTTTTTTTTTCAACAGTTAATTACAAGAAAACGGCTCGGTAGATTTTCACCTAAAATTAATCAGTACCATTCCCAACTAATATCTTTCGAACAGTTTTTGATATTTTAAAATCGGTTCGGTAGGATGAGCTTAAATGTCGACGAAAATTTAACACTTTTTTTCAACAGTTAATTATAAGAAAACGGCTCGGTGGATTTTCACCTAAAATTAATCAGTATCATTCCCAACTAATATCTTTCGAACAGTTTTCGATATTTTAAAATCGGTTCGGTAGGATGAGCTTAAATGTCGACGAAAATTTAACACTTTTTTTCAACAGTTAATTACAAGAAAACGGCTCGGTAGATTTTCACCTAAAATTAATCAGTATCATTCCCAACTAATATCTTTCGAACAGTTTTTGATATTTTAAAATCGGTTCGGTAGGATGAGCTTAAATGTCGACGAAAATTTAACACTTTTTTTCAACAGTTAATTACAAGAAAACGGCTCGGTAGATTTTCACCTAAAATTAATCAGTATCATTCCCAACTAATATCTTTCGAACAGTTTTTGATATTTTAAAATCGGTTCGGTAGGATGAGCTTGAATGTCGACGAAAATTTAACACTTTTTTTCAACAGTTAATTACAAGAAAACGGCTCGGTAGATTTTCACCTAAAATTAATCAGTACCATTCCCAACTAATATCTTTCGAACAGTTTTTGATATTTTAAAATCGGTTCGGTAGGATGAGCTTAAATGTCGACGAAAATTTAACACTTTTTTTCAACAGTTAATTACAAGAAAACGGCTCGGTAGATTTTCACCTAAAATTAATCAGTATCATTCCCAACTAATATCTTTCAAACAGTTTTTGATTTTTTAAAATCGTTCGGTAGGATGAGCTTAAATGTGGACGAAAAGTTTTTTTCAAATTACAAAGAAACGGCTTGGCAGATCGTTGCACAAAACTGACAAACGATAGTCCTCACCGAAATACATCAAATGGCTTTTAAATTTCTAAAATCGGTTTAGGCGTTTTTGAGAAAACGTCGATCAAAAGTCTAATTTTGACAAATGCCAAAAAGACCATACTGATTTTTGCAAACTTTGACGAATTTTTAAAGCTAAACGAGTTGTCGTAGGGCCGTAATATTTTAGTATGACCTGGAAAACTATGGTATCTACTGTCAAAAAAAAATCATAAAAATCGTCGAATTTTTTTTTTAAACGTTATTACAAGAAAACGGCTCGGCCGATCTTTACCAAAAACTAATCAGCACGATTCCCAACCAATATCTTTCGAACGGTTTTTGAATTTTCAAAATCGATTCAGAATTGCGGGCTAAAACGTAGACGAAAAATTTTTCACTTTTCTGCCATTTATAAAGAAACGGCTTGGCCGATCGTCGCACAAAACTGACAAACAATAGTTCTCGTCAAGATACATCGAATGGCTTTTAAATTTTTGAAATCGACCCAGCCGTTTTCGAGAAAACGTCGATTTACGACAAAAAATCTGTTCACATACACACACACACACACACACACACACACACACACACACACATACTTTTTCCAAATTTGGTCTCATTCGATTCAGAATGGCTTGAAACGTCGAGAAAACATAAAATTAGCGAATCGGGTTTTTTGATGAAAACATAAACTTCTCCTTCGGGAAGTTAATAATAAAGTAAAGATACTGAAGATAAAAATAGAATTTAGGATTATAGATGAGAGATAAATTCACCTACACCAAAGTTATGTTATGTCAAAATTAAAATCTAGTAGAAATAAATTACCCTTAAACAATCCATCAACTAAACCCTTAACAGCAGTGTCATAAAATTCAGCTTGCGAAACTTCTGGTGGAAATACATGGTTGTAAGTAAAAGAAAGATTTTTTATTAAAACTTGAGGTTTATTTGGCACTGTTTCGAGGCATTTAACATATCCTTTAGAAATTTCGGATTTGACTAAAGGCCTTATCCTTAAAGCCACCTGTACACTAACAGCAGAATCAGCCATCTGAAATTTTTTCAAAAATCGTTTGAGCAGGTGTAGATCTTATATGAGATATTCTATTTTATTTATGAAGAAAATAATATAGTAAATAATATACTTCATCAATCCTACTTTAACTAGTTGGTTTGGTATTTAGCCTTGAGGCAAGTTACATGAACTTCCCGAAATGTTTAAATAATCGACTTAATCAAAAAAATGGGTAAATAATATACTTCATTAATCCTACTTTAAAAAAAACGATAATAATTTTAGCAAACTTTGACGAATTTTTAAAATTAAACTACTTGTCGTTAGGCCGTAATATTACAGTAAGTTCTATAAGACCATGATGTATATCGCCAAAAAAATTTCCATGAAAATCGGCTTAAATTTTTTTTTCAACAGTTAATTACAAGAAAACGGCTCGGTAGATTTTCACCTAAAATTAATCAGTACCATTCCCAACTAATATCTTTCGAACAGTTTTTGATATTTTAAAATCGGTTCGGTAGGATGAGCTTAAATGTCGACGAAAATTTAACACTTTTTTTCAACAGTTAATTACAAGAAAACGACTCGGTGGATTTTCACCTAAAATTAATCAGTATCATTCCCAACTAATATCTTTCGAACAGTTTTCGATATTTTAAAATCGGTTCGGTAGGATGAGCTTAAATGTCGACGAAAATTTAACACTTTTTTTCAACAGTTAATTACAAGAAAACGGCTCGGTAGATTTTCACCTAAAATTAATCAGTATCATTCCCAACTAATATCTTTCGAACAGTTTTTGATATTTTAAAATCGGTTCGGTAGGATGAGCTTAAATGTCGACGAAAATTTAACACTTTTTTTCAACAGTTAATTACAAGAAAACGGCTCGGTAGATTTTCACCTAAAATTAATCAGTATCATTCCCAACTAATATCTTTCGAACAGTTTTTGATATTTTAAAATCGGTTCGGTAGGATGAGCTTAAATGTCGACGAAAATTTAACACTTTTTTTCAACAGTTAATTACAAGAAAACGGCTCGGTAGATTTTCACCTAAAATTAATCAGTACCATTCCCAACTAATATCTTTCGAACAGTTTTTGATATTTTAAAATCGGTTCGGTAGGATGAGCTTAAATGTCGACGAAAATTTAACACTTTTTTTCAACAGTTAATTACAAGAAAACGGCTCGGTAGATTTTCACCTAAAATTAATCAGTATCATTCCCAACTAATATCTTTCGAACAGTTTTTGATTTTTTAAAATCGTTCGGTAGGATGAGCTTAAATGTGGACGAAAAGTTTTTTTCAAATTACAAAGAAACGGCTTGGCAGATCGTTGCACAAAACTGACAAACGATAGTCCTCACCGAAATACATCAAATGGCTTTTAAATTTCTAAAATCGGTTTAGGCGTTTTTGAGAAAACGTCGATCAAAAGTCTAATTTTGACAAATGCCAAAAAGACCATACTGATTTTTGCAAACTTTGACGAATTTTTAAAGCTGAACCAGTTGTCGTAGGGCCGTAATATTTTAGTATGATCTAGAAGACTATGGTATCTATCGTCAAAAAAATAATCATAAAAAATCGTCGAAATTTTTTTTTTAAAACTTTATTACAAGAAAACGGCCCGGCCGATCTCTACCAAAAACTAATCAGCACGATTCCCAACCAATATCTTTCGAACGGTTTTTGAATTTTCAAAATCGATTCAGAATTGCGGGCTAAAACGTAGACGAAAAATTTTTCACTTTTCTGCCATTTATAAAGAAACGGCTTGGCCGATCGTCGCACAAAACTGACAAACAATAGTTCTCGTCAAGATACATCGAATGGCTTTTAAATTTTTGAAATCGACCCAGCCGTTTTCGAGAAAACGTCGATTTACGACAAAAAATCTGTTCACATACACACACACACACACACACACACACACACACACACACACACATACTTTTTCCAAATTTGGTCTCATTCGATTCAGAATGGCTTGAAACGTCGAGAAAACATAAAATTAGCGAATCGGGTTTTTTGATGAAAACATAAACTTCTCCTTCGGGAAGTTAATAATAACCAAAATTTTGACATTTCACAAAAAAAGAATGTTTAACGAGTTACTTCAATAAGACGCAAATAAATTAATTATTACAAGTTATGTTACAGAAAATATTGCCTAACAAATTATAGATACAAAACAATATTGTAAAATAAATATTTTCAAAAAATTTTGACAGAAAATGGCAAAAAAAACAAAACACTAAAATGACAAATGTCAAAATTCATGGAAAATTTGAGAAAAAAGATTTATGATTTTTGAAAACAAAAATTGACAGTTCAGAAAATATAATTCAAAAACATGTACATATATAGATATATCCACATTTATATCCAAATTAGATGAAATGCTATATTCA